ATTTTTCTGTTAATATTTTATAGCATATATTATATTACAGTAATGAGTACCATCATTGTATGTATTAAGTATATATTGCTACAGTATGGAGTCAGAAAAAGAGGACTGTTCTCTAACTTTCTACCCTTAGCGTCTCTCAGTGTATCCCACTAAATAGGGTTGGATGAATTTGATTTTTAAAAAGTAATATTTAGCCCAGCGCAGTGGCATACACCTGTCATCCTAGCTACTTGGGAAGCTAAGGCAGGAGGATTGATCAATTGTTCTTAGTGGTTAGAGATGAGCCAACGCAAAACAGCAAGAACCTGTCCATAAACACAAAACAAAACTAGCAGCAGTTACTAGTACTTAAATATAACTATTAGGAGTATGTTATTCAAGAGTCTTTTAATGTAAGAATGAAGATTATGTTGTCATATGTGAAATACTTATGATTTTCCCATGACTTACTTTTTTTAATTCTCCAATGTAGCTAAGCTTACTGTCTTTGACTTAACTTCAAAGGACCAATACATGCCCTAAAACCACAATAAAATAGGGTTCACATTTCAGCCAATTTATATGTTATATGCTCCAGGTTAAATAAAGATGAAACATAAATGACTTCACATATTATTCTTTTTTACATAAATCTCATCTTAAGCATAAAATCACCAATTTAAATAAGAAATCCAGTCTCACAATAATCGGTGGCTAGACAGCAGTCCTATTTTTATTGACTAAACAAAATTAATTTCTTCCTGCCCAAATGACATAACATGTGTTGCTAATTTTTCATTCAGCACTTTCTGCCACTTGGCAAAAGACATAAATATTGGTGGTTTTATCCCAGACAGGTGCTCAGAAACTTACATAAAAAGATGATTGGTAAATTTACACTTTACTACTCACTGAAATAGCATTTTTGTAACAATATGTAGATTTTAAAGTATTGGCTACTAGTATCTGCTTTCATAGATAATACGGGAAGATAGTACTTTAACCATTTTTTATTGCTGTAAAACTTTCTATAACTAGCCTTGAAAGCATATTCACACGGTGCATATGCAGAGGTGGTATTTTAATCCCTCTGCATCTGCCTCTGCCATGATATGGAGCAAGGGACCAGAAGTAGCCAATGGACCAATTGTACACAAGTGCTGCCCTCGGTCCTGAGCTGCAGGCTGGACACTTAGCAGGAAGGCACTGGGCAGTTTCTATGCCACCTTTCCAGCACTGGTCCATTACTTTTGACCCAGGGTCTCTATTCCTTCTGGACACATGCATATTTTCTTACCTAGTCTTCCCGTCACACGGGTCTGCTGATGATCCAATATCCAGGTTTAAATTTACTACGGAAGTCAGTGCAGCGTAAGCTAGGGTTGAATCATTTACATAATGAAGAATGATAACTTGCAGGATGATTGGAAGCTTTACTGACTGCTCAGTAAGTTGGAAAAGATCCAATTCATCTTTTATTTCATTTTTTATTTTAGGGAAGGGTCTACAGGGTGTTCAGGGTCTCACTACTAGATTGGACTCATAGTGATCTACCTGTTTACAGCTTCCCAAGTGCTGGGATTATAGGTGTGCACCACCATGCCCAGTCTCAATCGCAGTCTCAGTGAGCCTTGTGGGTGGGGACGGCACAGCAGGTCCTGGTGATGGAACCCCAGAATCCTGTGTGTGTTTGCAGGCGCTTTAATCCGCTGAGCTATTTGGCCCGACCTTCATCTTTTATTTTAGAAGATAGAAAAATTTTTGGCAATTAGGGGTAGATAACTTGCATATAAAAGAAACAGAAAAATTGGGAAAAGTACTGACCATCCTAATCTAAATTTTCTCTGTCATAAGTGCTGTGTCATAAAGGAAGAAGAACTTTTAAATGACCACAGGTTACAATTTTATACCATTATATGCATTTCGTCTTCGTCTTCGTCTTCTTCTTCTTCTTCTTCTTCTTCTTCTTCTTCTTCTTCTTCTTCTTCTTCTTCTGCTTCTGCTTCTGCCTCTGCCTCTGCCCCTGCCCCTGCCCCTGCCCCTGCCTCTGCTTCTTCTTCTTCTTCTCCTCCTCCTCCTCTTCCTCCTCCTCCTCCTTCTCCTTCTTCCTCTTCTTGCTCTTCTCCCTCTTCTTCCTCTTTTTCTTCTTAATTAGGACAGGGTCTATAGGGCCTCACTACATAGATCAGACTTGCAGTGATCCCTCTGTATTCAGCCTCACAAGAGCTGGGATTACAGCAACCAGCTGTGGTGCCAGCCCACCACTCAGAGTCTCAATCACAGTCTCAGCACGCCTGGCTACCACACTCTGCCTAAGCAGGCACTTAAGTCTGCTGAGCTATCAGGCTGCCAACCCTGCATTTCTTCTTGAATAGAAAAAGATTCCTTTTATGAATGTGTGTATTTTATTTATTTATGTTTTTTTATGTTACCAGGATCAAACTCAGAGGACACTGCACTTGCCAGTTAGGCACTTATGCCGCTGAGCTATTTCCCTGGCCGGAATGTGTGGGTTTTAAAGACTATTAATTAACATTTTAATATAAAAGTAGTATATACTACTGTATAAACTTTTCTATTTATTTGTATAATAATCATATTGTATTTTTTTTTTTTTTTGGCAGAACCAGGGATTGAACTCAGGCCCCTGTGCTTGCCAGGAAAGTGCTTATTCCATTGAGCCATCTCCCCAACCCCAACATATTGTATTTATTATTTTTATATATTCATTTTGTGTTATTACAAATGGCAAGAATCTTTCATGTTAAGCATTCAACTCAATATGTGCAGCATAGTTTACAGAGGTGAATAATTATTGTAATCTATTTTTCACTTTTAATTTACTTCTCCCAAAACAAACACACAAAAAGAGCAAAGATAAGATGCCACAAGGGAAGCGAATCTAGTTTGAATTAAAACAGTATCCAAAGATGCTTCATGTAACTACTGTACTGAGGAATATCTCATACAAAAATTTTTTGGAAATATAGTGATCAAGTGAACACCAGCAGTGTTAACTTGAAAAATTACATTAAACTTAAACAACAAGGAAAGAACACCTAAAATTTGCCAACCTAGCACGCCACTTGTGGTAGCACAGCAGTGACAGGGTCATAGCAAAAGTGGTAGTAAAATATCACTCGAATTATTAGGCACAAACGATTACTATCTATTTCAATAAAATTCCTAAAAGATCTTATTAGTGGTTCCAGAAGACAGCTTTGATGTCTAAGTTAAATCTGAAATGTTTCAAACCTAAGTTTATATCAACAAATTTTGAAATGAATCAATATTATTGGATATGCCACGTGGCAAAATATTTTAAAAGTATACTAATGTTGTATTATAAATATGGGTGACAAAATGAAGAAGTCAAACACCAGTTAAATCAACTACTTCTTTAGTCCAAGCATTGAAGGGTGTTTTTGTTTTCTTGTATTTAGTGCGGGGTCTACAGGGTCTCACTACACAGATAGGACTTGTAGTGATACTCCTGTTTTCAGCTTCCCAAGTGCTAGGATTATAGACATGCACCACCATGCCCAGTTTCCATCGCTATCTCAGCACACCCCCAGGGAATCATTGAAGTGTTAAGCTTCTCTGTCTTATTTATGACATCTGCTCTTGCTTTGGAGATCTGATTTAGAAGAGTCTTTTAAATAAATGACAGAATAAATCTTAAGAATTACAGATGTGTTCAGAATGACAAACATGCACAGTTTTCCTCATGGAGATATAATTTAAATAGGAGAAATTTTGTTAAAATCATAAAAAAAATTGGCATCAGTTTAGTCTCTGTCCATGAATTTGGAATTGTACTCGTGAATTTTAGATATCCCCAAATCATGAGGGGCTCATGGTAGCCTATCACAACATACACACAAGTTCATGCTCCACTATAGGTATAATTTTATTAACAATGACAAGGCACTGGGCTACCTTCAGTACTACGTAAGATCATTCTTCAGCTATAATAATTTTTCAGAAGATTGAGAAAGTCTCCAATTCCTGATTTTCCTTCAGTAATAAGATTTTCCAGAATGTTATAAACTTTAATGTCTGAATGGCTCTTCCCAATGTATACTTTCTGTAACAAACTTGCCGTAACAAGAATGACCACAAAATGAATCTCATGTGTCAGTAGGAAAGCACATTAAAACTACTTTTATGCTAAGCTACCAATTCACAATTATCACTATTATTATCTCTTCTGAAATCTGCCAAGTACTTATTCACAAGTTATGGACATTTATATCATCAAAAATCTACAGCTGAATTTAAAATTGCCTCATGCAAATTTAAAAGCAGACCTGTCACATATTACAGAGATCATATTTTATGTAGAGAAAACCCAGTTAATATTATGTGGGGTAGCACAGCTGACTCTTTCAGTTTTCATAACTGTTTTGTAGAATCTTATCGTTAGCACACACCAACACAAAAGACAAACATCTGAGAAATACCCTTCATTCATTTGGACTGACATTTTTACTTTCCTCATCTAGATATTTCAAATGAGCTATTTAATTTTCAATAGTCCTAACCAATTCATAATTTACCCTCATGCACTTCTTCCAGGTGTCTGGAGATTTTAGAGAATATTCTATTGATTTAGAAGACAACAGGAGCCAGTTGTGGCGAAGCATGCCTGGTATCCCAGCACTCCAGAGGCTGAGGCAGGGGGATCACCATGAATTTGAGGCCAGTCGAGGCTACATAAGTGAGTTCAAGCTAGCCTGCACTACATAGTGTGCCCCGACTCAAAGAACAGGGTAAGGTAGGGTAGGGTAGGGTAGGGTAGGGTAGGGTAGGGTAGGATAGGGTAGGATAGAATAGAATAGAATAGAATAGAGGACTAGGACAGGCTAGGACAAGAAAAATAAGAAAAAGCTAAATGTGTAATAAATCAACAGTCAGGAAAAAGAGAGTTATTTGTAACAATGCTAATTAAGTACTTAACTGAGAAACCCAGCACTCAAAGTCAGACTTTACATTTTCAGTGAAGACAAACAAAAGCATACCTGCTTGACCAGTGGTGATGCTGACAGCCGCAAAGAGCCTTTGGGATCGGCTTAAGTCAGAAACTCCATTTACAGCTTCAACTTCAAAGGTATAATTAGCGTGGGCTAGCAGGTCCATGACGGTGACATAATTATCCTCTAATCCACTTTGCTGGGGCATGTATCCAATGTTACTCCCGCAGGGCACGCATTCGCCCTGCTCCCAACTGCACCGCTTACACAGTATTCTGTAGGTGACATCGTTCCTTCCCCCGTTGTCTGCTGGAGGACTCCATTCCAAACTTACTGTGGTCTGGTTGATGTTGAAGATGAGGTTCTGGGGTGCAGATGGAGGCCCTTGCAAAATAAAAAAAAATCAACAAACAAACAAAAATTGAAAAGAAAAGCACATAAACCAAATGAACAACAGGACCTATGTGGGCTAGCAAGCTAGTGGCCCAATTACCGAAGAGAAACCTATCTGAAATGCTTTCTTTCACATAAATATTTCATTACCTTTACCAGAAAAGCTGTATGAAAGCCTCCTTGAATTTACTTGGCAAGAGACTTTATTTATTTTCCATTTAATATGTCAAAATGAAAACAGAATAACAACTGTCTTTGTGCTTTTGCCACAGTCTTTAGCTATTTTTCTTCCGAGCAATTAAAAAAGAACAGTTAAGGCACTGAAAACACAGTGGTACAGTTGTTTAAAATAGTTTTCCTTTTAACCATATAACAGAGAATACATTTATTCATTCTTAATGTACTCAAGAATGATTTATACTAATGTGTGGGACTAGTTTTGAATCTAAGCCTCTCAAATACTCATTAATTGAAGCACCAAAATGTGAGAGTTGCTCTATTTAGCAATGGCACTTTTATTCAGAAAACACTGCTTTTTAATCACATTGCACATATGTGTAAGACTAACATACCTTTTACTTTTATGATTTCTACCAAGTATCTATGAAAATATTAAAGCACACCCTGATGACAGAAAAGTTACACTGCAAACAGTGTAAAATACACCTATTGTATTTGATTCCCTGCATTAATGTATTTATGGGGAAATTTAAGAACAGCTGAGGATAACTAAGAATGTACTCACGGGAGTCAATAGGTACATTAATAGGAGAACAATGGATAAATGAGAAGAAGAGCTTTGAAAACTTCTCTCATTGTGGACTTACTTGTGCATGCAACATAAGGTGGGTCGGAAGGAGCCCTGTAGTACCCATCTGTACATTCGCATCTGGAGGAGCCTTCTCTATCCGAAAAGCTATGGGTTGGACAACGAGAGCACTGAAGATCCTGAGAGGAAGATTTGTAGAATCCACGACCACAGGCTGGGTATTCAAAAGCAAATGAAAACAGAAATAGGAGACTAAGTAACCAGGCCTTTTAAAAAAGTTAAGAATATTTAGCAAAGAATAACATACTTCAACAAGTTTCATGATAAAATATTTGTTTTAATGTGTAGCAGTAGCTTCATTCTGTATGTTTTATAATACAATGCATAAGCAAAATGATACAGCAAATTTCCACCTTCATGTGACATCAATCAAAAGATTAAACCCTAAAGCTGAACACTAGCATCATCTATTTAGATAAAAAATCTTAGAGTACTTACTTTGTATATTTAATTCAATTTTAAGTTTGTTTTCAAAAAATAATTAACTTGATGTTGTTCTACATCAACACAAACAAAGTTATGTTTTCTCCATCTAGTGTAGCAGGAAATTAAGCCTTCAGATATTTGGTCAATGTTTAAAAATATTAATACAATTTTAATTATCAGGTCACTATAATAAGGATGTGAAACGTTCACATGAATCTGACTGCAATGTCTTTGCCCAAGTTAATTAGGAACTTCAAGATATGCTTTTACCAACTTACCTTGCAATGCAGATTGTATTGCATTATGGGAGCTGCTCTTGTTACTAAACATGGAGCTTACCAATAGGAAATCTCTCTACCATAAGACACAAGGAGAAAGGCATCTGCTGCTCATGGGCTGTAACCCTGCCTCCCCAGACTGAGGCTGACCTAGCAAAGGCTCTCAGAAGTACACGGACACACAGATGTCTCTCTCATCTCCTAATGAGCTGCTCTTATTTATGTAGATTCTGTTATTAAATTAGGTAACTCTTTAGCATTTAACAATCTCTTTAGATTTTATGTATCTATATTTATCTTTAATTAAGATAGAGGCAGGTAAGCTTTCATCATGTCAACAATTTTTATTCAATGAAGGTCTATTTATTACATGAATAACTTTTAAAGTTTTGGGTACTCATTTAATAATGTCATAAATCATATCTAAAAAGACTAGTTACTGAATATGTAGCATAGGTTTTAAATTTTAACATATTATTTGAAATTTTAAAGTTCTCCATTGTGTCATTACTCAGAAATTTAGTTATATTTTCACTGTTGAGGAGTGGGAAGTTGGAACAATGCTATCATGAAATGACAGTTCCCAGAAAAATATTGAACCCTGTTCTTTATTTTTATTCATATTCTGAATGTTTAATGCACACTTCAGATATATTTCAGAGCCCAAAATGATCATTTGAGCTCCAAAAAATGACATTCGTTTACACGAAAAGATAGCTGCTTTACATTCTTGAAATTTAGTTTAAAATGTGCTGTACTGTGATAGATAGAATTACAATCGTTTCACTGTGAGCGCACAATCCATTACTTCCTTCGGAAGCAAGTCTCTCAGCTTGCCGGCGTCTCCGTTCACATGAGTAGAAAGCAGACATGAACGCAGTAGGCAAAGCAACAAGATGCTCCTCCTCATGCTCTCAGTAGCGGTTATTACAAATTAAAGGCCCAGAAAATTGAGTGAATATAATTTAAAAATAATATAGCAACAATATATCACATACAGATATGATCTGAAGGCTAACTAGGAAAACAAAGGATTTAGCCTAAGGTTTCTCAGGATGAAAAAAAAAAATCTTTATTCTTTATTCACTGTATCTTGCTTTATGCATTAGCTACATCCAAAGATCAAACATAACATCCCAAAAAATAGAGAAGGCGATGCTTTACACACAGCTTGAAATATTAAGGCTTGGGCAATGTTGAAACATAGATGAGAAAGAGAGAGGTAGAGAGGAACAGAGTGAGACAGAGAGAGACAGAGAGACAGAGAGACAGAGACAGACAGAGACACAGACAGAGACACAGACACAGATACACATAAACGCAGAGAGAGAGAGAGAGAGAGAGAGAGAGAGCGAGAGAGCATTTGCCTATAAAGACGTTTTCATAGTAAATCTAGAGAGAGCGAGTAGGAGGGAGAGAAACAGAGAACAAAGAAGGTGGAGGGACAGTGAAGAGGTGGGTACTGCTGTTTGTTGTTTGGGTATTTACATACTTTTTACAAAAAATATTTACAGAGTAAGAAGAAAGACAACTGCCATAGCAACATAATTTGACCTTTATTGGATAACACTTCCAGATTTGAAGGCAACAAGCTAATACCTAGCCAAATCCCTGAGAACACTAATAAATTCTGGGCTGGTGAGATAGCACAGTGGATTAAGCGCCTGCCTGACAAGTGCAAGGACTGTTGGGGTTCGATTCCTGCACCACATGTTGCATTGGTCTCACCCCTGGGGTTCACTGAACCAGGCACTAGGACCAGGTGTGGTAATCCCTGTAATCCCAGTGCTGGGGAGGCTGAAAACGGGAGGATTGCTACAAGTCTGAGCTACGTAGTGAGACCCTGTACCAAATACATAAAAAGTAAAAAACAAAACAACAAAATCTTCTAAGTAAAAATGAATTTCCACTTCTCCTGAAAAATTAGGGATTGCATCTCTTATGCAACTTGCATGATTTGTAGACTACATACATAATGCCTAATGTTAAAATATTTGAAACTCTTCTCAACTTTAAAAGAACGATAAATTCTGTTTCCCATTTCGCTGATGAGAGGACAGATTTGAAGTCAAAGCAACCCAAGTTTTCCAAATGACCCCACTTGTCGAGGGTGAAACTGAAACAACATGGAGCTCCTGACACCTGGCCACACACTATTCTTTACAGAGTGAGCCAAAGTTTGGCTCTTGTTGAATGGGTTTCAGGTAATGTCCAATGGCTCCTTCATATCATTTCTCATTCACTTCTATCAACTTAAAGCTTTTACTTTCACTTAGAAAACTGTGAAAAAATATCCTGGCACGCCTTCACAAGATTTATTAAATAGGTATTCTCAATTTCACTAGGACTTTGGCACTGGCTGTGCCCACAAAGTTATGCGGTGTATGTACAGCTGTCATTAAACAGATAGAAGTAATACCAGGAAAGTTATGATTTTTTTTTTTCTTTGAAGTAATATTCTGTAGTGGGTAACATTGAAAATTATAAGTTTCAACCCGTTGGGTTTCCATTTAAACCCTCCAAACTCCATTTAGACTTGTTAAAAGTACAGAACCTTTAGAGTCAGGATGTGAGGTATACAGCCAGTACCATGTGAAAATAAAACTCTAGCTCTTAAGATACCACTGAGCAACTGGGCATGGAAAGCTGGAAAAGGAAGAAATAAATAGTTTTAAATCAGAAATTGTGATGAAAATACCCATATGTGAGTGCTAAAACAGACACTCAACAAGAGCAGCAGGTGAAGTTTCATATCTGAGAGTTACACACATAAGAGAGCATCAGATTATATCTCCAATAATTTCTAAAAAGACTTCCTGGAAATCCAACCAATTCCCCCTGCATATAATTGTAGCTGCCTTTCTGGGGCCACTATGTAAAAGTCTTGATAAGTAAATGCTTTTCGAAAATCTCAAAGATAATTTTCTTCTAAACATAACTGTAAAGTATACAAGAAAAACTTTCTAGGACTTAGGTATCAGCAGCTTAGAAAGCTTCATTTCTCAACAGCACTTGAACTTACAGCAAAGTTTAATGTAGCTTGTACTCAGTAGTAAAGTCAATTATAATAACAAGTGGATCATTTTTCACTTAGGGCTTTTCAATTCTTTTTTCTTTTAACTAAATATTATTCTTAAAGTAATGTTACACCATGTTGATAAAAGTTGGACATATGTATAAATTTTGCTTCAAATATTTTGTTATTTTTATAACAATAATCTCGTACGTGTTATTTTAATAATGCTATTTTTTGGTTATCACAAATTCCTCAGATAATTTTCACTGTTCCTCCAGTTTTTAGGGATTTAAAGACTGTAATATGTTCATTTTCATGGAGTCATGAATTATCTACTGATTGTTAAATAGAAAAATGACAAAAAGGAGAATCAAAATTTTTAAAAAATGAAATTTTGTATATGAGACAGTAACATATGGTAATATATCTACTGAACTATATTCTACTACAATATCTGCTATAGTCACTGTGATGAAAAAAGTAATTTACTGTATTAACTCCCCTGGCTGACCTAGAACTCACAATGATCTTCCTGCCTCAGTATCCCAAGTGCTAGGAGTATAGTCATGCACTACCATGCCCAGCCTATAAATTAATTACTGAAGACTAATACGGCACTAACACTCAATCCAAAGGTATTTAAAAAACAAGAAAGCTGACACTACAACTTTGTATTCTCTTTCTTAAATTCTCCTAACAATTTTACAGTAGTCTTCAATAGATAGCAAGATTTAGAGCACTGAGTTACTTCTCCTCTGGATTTGTATCAGCCCAGTTGAACAATTGGGCTATTGTACTAGCTCTGCACACACAGTAAAATTTGCTAATGGCTACCAAATCTACAAAACTAGCTCAATGGGGCACTGTATCTCTTCCTTCTGACCAGGGATATGGCTACCCATATTCCCTGGTGCCTCTGATTTTTGATCTACAAGGTGTAAATTTGAAGAAATATCATCTTATTATTATTTCTGAGGATACCCTCCTCACTATCTCGTTGCCTTAGCAAACTCACAGAACTTTAAAGGTTTTCCACAAACCAGAAAATTCCTGCTCCTTAATGGGTTAATTATTGCAAGTCTTCACCTCCACCTTTTGTCTCAAATATACTTAACATATCTTGGACAAAAATGTCACAGTTAATCCACATTTTAGTTAGCTTTTTTCCATAGCTGCATACTAGAAAAGGTTTGAAAGATATTAGACATTATTGCCTTGACCTAATCATAATCACTGAATTCAGAGCTTTTCTTCATTTTAAAATTTTTCTAGATATTCACAACAAACATTTGAGGTACTAAGTCTTCTTTCTTTTCTTCTTCTTTTTCTTTTTTAATGAGGTTAGACTATGTTGCCCCAGGCTGGTGTTCAGTTCCTGACCTCAAAGTGTCCTCTTGCTCAGCCTCCTCCATTTCTCAAATACTGGGATTATAG